ATCCCCCCCTCTCTCTCTTAAGGCTGATTTCCACGAGGCGAAATTTACAGCGAATTCGCGGCGAATTCGCTTCGAAATGGTCTTTGATTTCCACGAGACTGCGAATTCGCTGCGAAATTATATAATAATTTCCTCCAAAACTCAACTTTAAGGCGCCTATTTTAAGAACTGCACGCATGACGAATGTTCCTAGATTATTTTTTAACAAATCAAGCAAATTTACCATGCTTTGACTGGTTATTAGGTGCCGCGAAATATTTCGCCGAGAAAAAGTAGAACTCTTTTCTACTTTCTTGCGAATTCGCTGCGAAATCAAAAATCAAAACTGCGCATGCCTTTATGCCTTCATCAGCGATTTCGCCGCGAATTCGCTGCGAAATTCGCCTCGTGGAAATCAGCCTTTACGAAAATCCATGGGGTTTCATTTTGACTTTAATGATAAAGAAATTTTCATTTGATTTGGGAAGAACGGCAGATTATGTCACAACAAGGTTCCATTGAGGCGAATGCAAATGACAAGAGAGCCAAATTTGTGAATTTTGCGTGTAAAAATTATATTGGACATGAATTTTTGAGAGATTTCGTAAATTTTGAATTTTTAGCCTAAATTTTGTGTGTGGGACCACTGGGGGGACCCACATGTGGGAAGGGTTAAGCAAGATTTAAATAAATTCAAATTTTTTGGGAACTATTGTTCAAGCAAATCAACATGCCAATGGACCATGCAGGTTCTGACGTTTAGGAAGGGAACATAAAAATTCACAATCCTGCTCTATTTTACAATGGGAAACTAAGCTTCGGCTATTCGGGCATGTCAGAGCCGCGGGGCTAGATGGGTGGTAGCCTGAACCTCAGACTCTAAAAATATTTTAGTTTGGGATCTGGAACTCAGGCTAGCCCCCCCCCACTTTTTCGCTAACGTTGTGGCATCAGATATAATGGTAACAAACTACGTATGGAGCCATTTCACTAGAGACCCCCCCTCCCCCATTCTAAAATTTGCTCTGACAGGATACTTGTTAAAAGTAAACTATATCCCTATACTCTTTTTGGCGCCACAAAATTAGTATAACTAGAAAGGAGTTATATTAGGTACGGGATCTTTTGCAACAAAAATGTCCGTCTATAACTTTGAAACGAATATAAAACAGGGTGGTAAATAAAACAGGAACTTTACTCTTGGAGACCTGTCTTGAAAAACATATCTGTTCTTTAAATCCTATTTTTGATATTATTATGTGTGTGTTGATTGAACCGATAAGTATAAAAAAATTAGGTACCCAAAAGCATCAGAGCACAAGGAAAGTTCTTACCCATAATTATCGAATAGACCAAAGACCCCTGTATATAGAATCTATAAGCGGGGTCGATTCCTATAGTGTTTGGAGTTATTTTGGTTTTTCAACCATATTGTTTGAATGTAGTACTTGGCACACATCAAAATGAAGTCTTACCATGTTGAAATTTGCAAAAAAAACAATAGATGATATGGATATTCTAGAAAAAATGTTAAAACTAAATCTTGCTCAACACTACATAGATAAAAAAGCTTTCTACATAATTCTTAAGATATATCATTGTGCTAACAAAAGGTTTATGCTAAACCTGAAAAAAATCGCATGATCTGATTGTGGACTGTATTTTGGAATATCCATGACAAGTCATATTACAAAGTGTAGCTTCCTGTTTGCGAAGTAACGCTTAGATACTATTTTTCATAATCATGCGAGCTCTTGGATACTGTTGAAGCTCATGTGGTAACGCTTGGAAACAAAGCCTTGACGCCTGGATACGCGAATTCGTTGTAGCATGCCGACAGCAGTTGTAGGCATGAGGGTTGCAATGATCACATTTTATGTGGTCAAAAAACCCCTATTTCGTCTCTTTATACAAAACTTGCCTCAATTTATCAGTTACCGTGTCTTCCCCTTTTCCCTTTTATGCAATTTCATAGTTTTTTTCCTGTAATTTTGTTCTGTTACTGTCGTTAATTGTTATTGGAAATTCAAGTTTTGTAATATTAATAATTATACAGAAGACATAAGCATGTGTAACAGGCTCGATAGCCCTTATCTCAGTGTCCTAGAAAACACTTTACGAACATTATTTAACGATTTTCTGCTTCTTATGTTAATAACAATGACAATAGTGTGTTTAGGTACACAGATTTTGCTTAATGATCAACAGACCTTTTAAGAATGTTGCTTAATTAAATAAATTTTAATTTTGAATTTGAATTTGAATATGGGTTGAGGGAATGGGTTATGTTTTGAAACTTGGACATCCACTTGAACACAATACCTTGCGAAGGCTCCAAGATACATTCCCTTATCCGTGACCGTGACGTAAGCTAGCGCCCTTCAAAAAAGCTGCAGCAAAAAAGGTTAGATTAAATAGTCCAAACAAACCGCATAGTGTTGTCAAAATTATGTTCGGAAAAAGTCTTAAAAAGTTTGCAAAATTTGATGGACTAGGCCGTCGGAAAAGGGGTAAGTCAAGAGGAGAGGGGCATTCCTTCTTACAATTTTCAAATTGTTCATTTCCCTCTGTTCATTTCTTTTAATTTCCAAAAAACCAATTTCCAATTCATAAAAAAGAAAGGTGCGCATTCATTGTCTAAAAAAATTAGCTCCTTCAGTCAAATACAAGAGCTTCGTGAATACTGGTGCCTAATTAGAGGATTTACTGGACATCAATTTTAATGCGCCATATACGATTTTTCAAGAAAAAGCAATAGGTCAAAATAAACGGAGGTTCAGCACTTAGTCTGGAAAAGTTTTTAAAGAATTAAAACAAATTGGGGACCTTGAAATATTTAGTAAACAGTTAATGGGAGTGTCGAAATTACCTTTATAACAGTAAGTGAAAACTTAAATTGAAAATGACGAAAAGTTTTTGATGCAAAAAATTTAAGGTGCAATATTCCCAAATGCACGGCCAAATCCCTTTTTTTATTTCTATTTACAGTTTGTAAATTTCTTTTTCTTTTTCTGTGTCCTATAGTACTTAGAAGCCTACCCTGAGAACACCTTCCCCTCCAGGACTCACGACCATCATCGAACAAATTATGATAAATAATGCGATGATATCGGTTCTAACATTAACTGTATTAACAACTGAAAACTTAATAAGCGTATTCAGAGTCCACTTCAACGTTTGACCACGGCGGGCTCAGTTAGCTGGTCAAACGCACATCATGTGAGTTCCGAAAAAATCCGATAAAGGGTGGTCTGAAAGCTAGAATTCGGGGACATAGAATCTTAAATTAGGGTTGCTTTTTCTCTAAGTCAGAGGAACCAAAAAATGGTAGGAATATAATGATAAGATGTTACAGATAATTTTTGTTATTGTCGTATCTATTATTCTTATCCTAGATAAGAAAGTTAAGAGTCTTTTTCTAATTTATACTCATTGCAGGGTATCATTTGGAATTTGGCACAACTTTTCCGTTTCTTCATAAACAACATTGAACGCATTGTTGTGAAGTAAGCAATATGTTGCTTTTTTAATTTCACAGCTGTCATATTTTGTCAATTTATATCAAGAACCATAAGAAATTGTTGTTAAAATCAAATTTACTGATTTCGGCTTTTTGACATAAGTTTAAGAAATAAAATGGTTTTTACATGAATTGATTTTAAAAAATACTTGCCCTAGCTTGAATATTCATAGCAATAAGGGGGACCGAAAGGTTAGCAAAGTCAGAGAGTAGGGTACAATTTACGCATCCCAGATTTAGTGATTAGGGTCCAGTTTCTCCTTTCAGGACGACCACACATGATATACAGTGAACGAATTGACTGAGCCCACCGGGCGTGTGACTAGATCGGATGCAAAAAATTTTCACTTAAGCTTTTCGAATGTAAAAAGTCTTTAAGTATTCTCATGAAACTTCAAGCGACTTTGAGAATAATGGAAAACATTTAAAACCGCACCCAAAAATATCCAATAAATTTTTTTCAACTAATTGTTATACAGTTTACGGCGCTTTGTTTCAAATGTAAAAAAGTTATTGGTTTTCAAAGGAACTATGTCCAAATATCTTAATGTCTAAATTTATCTCAATATGAACAGCAAGATCGACTCCCTTTATGTCTCTATTTTGGTTATTAGTTAGCTGAATTCATAGCCTCCCACAACAACTGGTGTCGCAGAGCGGAGCAGGGGGTGGGGGGTTATAACCCCAAATTTTTTCGAAAACGCAAAATATCAAGAAATTGACCACCAGTTGAGCCTCTTTTTATTTGGTTTCAACCACCCCCCCCCCCATCCCTCTTTTACTCAACGTTTGCAAAGACTGCATATCACGATACTGGCTGTTGGAAGACTTTACGTGAGATGCGATGTGAATGTTGCCAACCAGAAAAAAACTGCTGCTCGAATAGCGCGGCGCTTCCGTGAAAAACAGAGGCAATATAAACCTGTCAGTGGCTGTGTAGAATTCACAGTTGGAAAGATATTCTGAGCATTGTACATTTCGCGCGGGAGAGCTTGGCAAGTGTGTTGTTCTAGGCAAATTGTGCTACATTTCACTGGAACACGAGGATGCTTGAGAAATTTATTATAACTCCAGGTTTTGTGAAACAAGTGAATATCATCTTAATCGTATTCAATGGAGTGTCCACAGCTCCATGAGAAGCTCTTCTACAAATCATTTTCAAATCCACTCAGTGGTGGTTAGGAGCACGTGGAAAGTGGCATGGAATTTGGCGCCAAATTAGTTGGTTCTTTTCAATGTCGGAAAATGCGGGAAAGATGGTACTTTCACTTGGTAAGTTGACGTAATATATTCTAGTCTCGATGGTGAGCTATTTGACTGTTTTTTGGTTAATCTTTTTTCGGAAACATATGCGTGTGCTTATTCTTAGGCAAAAACCCACTTTAAATCAGCTTATCGTCGCTTGAAAAAAACTCTATAGAATTTTAAACGCGAATCTTAATATTTACCTGATAGTCACCAACGAGACTGTCGTTGGGTTGAGATGGGATACGGGGAGAAAGGGGATCTACCATCGATCGACTATCGCGGTAAGAACACGACCTGATAGAATAGGCGAAAGGGCACCTTGCTAATTATCCCGTTCGACGTACTGGCATAAGACTGTGCCCGTTTCGATCTATTCGTCGTAATGACCTATTTATATTTCACCTTATGCGTCAAATTTTTAGCTTGAAGCCTTTTGCGTACCGCAGGCCACTGGGAGGGGCAATTTACTCTTGCAAATTGCGTACATGATTTTTACGAAAGCAAAATAACTTCTAGGGATTTTCACATAAAACCATATGATTTTAACGGAAATTGTACCAGATTTTCAAAGACTGAATTCGCCCCTCAGGCTCGAGCGTAGAAGAACCGGTGAGATCTACCTAGGCAATAAAATTGCGTATCACGCGTGCGGTATATCAAAGGAATCAAATATAATTAAGGCCTGTCATGAGGATTAGCGCTTGTCAACATGCAAAATTTCTGACCATGAATTCCATGGCAAATACAGGGCCCTGATTGGCTGAAACGGTTCAAGCTGATTTTTTCGCCAGGATTATGTTTAATCACGATCGATCTTGTTAATACTGATTTTTCCTTCTCCTCGGTGCGTGGATTTTCTCCTCAGAATATGGATCGCGTTACATATCAATTAATTTATTAGTGATTTGGTGTTGGTGTGTTGATATGTATTTGTTTTAATTGATCAAGTTATTTTTATTTCTAATTATCTTCAAAGATTTTAAATTGCAGTGAGTATGGCTTTTAAATATTGATCAAGCGTATGTTTGTTATTATTCTTGTTGCTGTCTTTGCTTTAAATTACATTCCTGGGCATGAATGCATAATGTCGAAGTTTTATTGCTTTGTTAAAAAGTTTTTTAAAGGCAGTCTGTCCCCCATTGTTCTCAGGAGCTTTCAAGTTGGAATAAGCCAATTATGGAGGGGACAGACTGCCTTTAGAGGCCTGTTTCTAGACTAGTCCTTGGATAAGCAATGTATCTTCAGAAAATGGTGGCAAAGTCTTAATACTTTGACCCATTTTGCTGGCCGTGAACAAGATAAAAGAAAATTGGTGTTAATAAGAGAATAAATACCACTAAAATCGCAAATGGTGAATCATTCAACATTTGAAAAACTTTTTTTGTCAATAGCAATCACATATATTACATTATTTTGGAAGGTATGCTTTAAAAGTGTGACACATCGAATTCATTTGAACATTAACTTGTCCAAAGGACACAAGAAAAAAGAAGATAACGCTTCTTTCTTCATCAAGACTTGCTACAATTCACTCTTTCTATTTTTCTTTCTTTTTTTATTGTTCAGATTACTAAATAAATAGAAAAATAGCGAAACTTTTCATCATAAGTTTTTATTTAAGTAGAAAACGAATGCCCTTATCACACTCTTTTTTCATAAGAATGGTAAAGACTTTTCGCAGCCTCGATATTCTTAAGAACTTTTCGTTCGGATAATTCTGAGCCTGAATATTTTTATAAACAATATTCTTATGAAAAAGTGGGTATTGATTCATGCCGTGTTAAAGAACTATTTGAAGAAAGCAAAAACTTTTACAAATCTTCAAAACCATTCATATCAATTAAATTTTACACAATTACAACCTAGAAGTGATTGCGATTTCCAATTTTTTCTAAAATTTACAAGTAATCAAGCTCAATATACATAAATTTTGACATCCCTTCTTAAATACATACAACAGCTACTCCAGTATTAAAACCTTTCGAATCAATGATTCGAACAAAAAATCATTTACAACCACAGATAAAATCTAATTTTCATGCATAGAAGCAGAAAAGTTAAAATTTCACCCAAACAGAGTGTGAAACGAATAACTAAATCTAAATATAATACCATTAAAACAATTATAGGGACAAGGAACTCAAGAGGAGACAATCAATGCTAAAACGTACGGAGTTGCCGTCAGATATTTAGGGTCTGAAATACATCTGAATTTGCAGGTAGTTAGAAAATACACTGTTTATAAGATGTGTTGTTTTTAGAAATTGTATCGAGACTTTCTTGATTTTTTAAGTGCTTTAATATCCATAGGTCAATTTAGATTCAACAGATTAGTAAAATTGATCTTGATACACAGCTCTTTTACCTTTGATGGATATGGAGCAGATAATTTTTGGACTGTTTTCCAATGATCTGACGGATTTACAATAGACTTTAGTTAAGAACTGAACATTTATCTTGTAACATTGAGTGTCTCACTTTGGGAACAATAAGTGGGTGCGTTCTTGTTTCTCCGTTATAAGGAGAGATAAAAGCTAGTATTTGATGATTGAGCATCATAGCGGTTGTAATTTATCAACTATTCGTCCCATCTTTAGACAATCCTGTAGATATTGTGACAGATTCTAGACAAGAGAAAGCTAATGACAACAATAGCTCTTAACATGTAGGTGGTTTGATAATTGCTACGTCATCCCTAAAACACATACAAGAGCAACACTGCTTTGCACTACAAACGAGCCTTGCTTTTAAAACGCTTTTAGCTAAACTCGTATCTAACATCCTGCAATTCTTAGACTATACATCATGATAATCATTGATAAATCTAGATGACAAAATCAGTGTTATGCAAAACCTTCTCGAATATCGACAATAATACGTCACTGTACATCAAGACTGCACTGTACATCAAGACTGTACTGTACATCAAGACTGTACTGTACATCAAGACTGTACTGTACATCAAGACTGTACTGTACATCAAGACTGTACTGTACATCAAGACTGTACTGTACATCAAGACTGTACATTCCTTATAATCTATATTAAAGGCAATAGACAGACAAACGCTTAAGCCATCTGCCAACCAATACTGTTGGCCAACCAACAAGCATCTCTAAGTGATATCCCTTATCGATTGGCCCAAATTTGGTTGACAGGTTATTGTCTAATAGAACGAAAATGAGTACAGTAATCCTCGCGAAAAAGAACCTGGTTTTCAAGAGTCAAATGGTTCTAAAGTCCTGTCAATAAGGTACGTAAAAGAGTTGGAGGGTTACTGATTTCAAATTTGGTTCATATTTATGGTGTATTTTGATTGTATTTGGATGGATACGTGCCTTTCGTGAAAAATGACCTGTAGGTACTTGAATTTATAAGCTCTCTTTGTAAGGATTCCTGAAAAATCTTGTCCTGAAGATGATAAAACTAGTGACAAACAGCATATCACACATGATTAAATGTTTTCTTATCCAACATAAACTGGGGTAGCGTTGCATAAAAACAGGCAACGAATGCCTGAGTGTCAGGATGATAGCGAACTTATTCGTACCGTGACTGTGTTTTAGTCAATATATCGAAGGATTTGCTTGGCTCTTTATAGTTGTTACTAGTTGATCGCGTCTTTGGCTTCCTATTTCTGCAGGCCTTGTCTCAGTAATATAGCGACAATAAAAGATACGCATCTTAAATGATCACAATTGTGTGAGTTCGTGTTAGCATCGACTCAACCAAATACAGTTGGCAACAATGGGCTAGACAGTAATTTTTGAAATAACTGGTGAATAAGTTTTTGGAGCATGCCATTATGTGAAGTATTTTTGAAGTCGCAAATGTTAGCAATCTTTTGGACTAACAGGCAAAGAGGCCTTGGAACGACATTTACTGTTGTACTTTCTCCACATGCTGTTTTTTATCAAGTAATAATTAGACTGAGAAAACGACAGAAATTCATCTAAAATTGAATGTTTTTCACGATATATTAAACTGAACTTTGGCAAAATGTGGTGCGAAATAAAATATTTTGAAACATACCTCAGGCTAACTCGTAATACTTGTGGGTTTTTGGGTCATAATAGCAATTTAAAACAGGATCGTATAACAAATCTAACTCTCCTTCCATATCTTGTGACTTTGTCAAATCCATCTTTTCAGATTCTGTAAAAGAAAATAGGAATATGTAATTCAAGTAGAAAAAAGGCTAGGCGATCATTGTGTTGAATGTGTTGAAAAGTTGGGGCCCAGCGAAAATTGGACATCATTTTATAGCATAAGAGGTACTTTTCATTAGAAAACGGTCAAACACCCATTATTGGAATAAACGATGTCTCCACGCCTTTCCATTATGTTGAGTCAATATGCATTTTAAATAGAACGTAATCTCACAGTCTCATAAAGAACTAATAATTACATTAACTACAAACAATTTCGTCGTGACAAAGTTTTGGACAAATATTTTGACGAAAATTTCTTCGACTAAATTCAAAATGAAACGAAATTTTGTCATGACGAAATTTTTTGCATTTAAGATTTTTGAGAATTCGCATCATCAACATCATCATCATCATCATGGCTGAAAAAGGGCGTTATCTTTTGACCAAAAGGGTGAGGACCCCAATGTTCCCTGCTCAATTCGCTTTTGCCAATCCCCTTCCCCCAAATCTTACCACCCTTGCTACGCTACTGTTACAATTTTTTCGCCGGTTTCAAAGGATCCCACCTCTGTCTTTTTATGTTCAACTGTACTATTTCTTTCAAGGTATTTGAATTTTTCAACCCAAATTTTGAACTTTACAGGAAGCACAATTTTGAGACCAACATTTTCTTTTGGAGATGGTCTTATGCTTTCCGAATCTTATACTTATACTCACACTATATTTATACTTTTAATTTACTCTGTCTATAAACTGTCATACCCTTTAGAAATAGAGTAGAGACTCTTTGAATGCTAAAAGCATCTCTGTTGACCCTGCCTTTGCATAAACTGAATAAATAACCGCTTTTATTTGATTTTCCTGGCATGAGCCTCTTTGTAAAAAAGCTGTCTAGGGTTAAGCCAAATTAAAAAAGCTGTCTGGGGGAAAGTCCCCATGTCTTCACGAAGTCAGTACCTATGGGATTGAATATAAAGCAACCTGTATGGATTTGTCACTTAGGATTTTGGTTATATGTTGCTTTCTCTGTGTTAAAAATCCACGACGAAATTTTGTCACGAAAAAATTCTGAAAAGTTGTCCGAAATTTGTTTCGACGAAGTTTATCCGCCGAAAATTTATCCGACCAAATTTTTGTTGTTAATGTATTTTCTTGGAGGAACGAAAATGGCTCGTTAACCATCTTGAGTTAGCCTCTGTACATCCTAATGAAGCTGTCGGATGGCCAGTAAGGATTTCAAAGGGAATATATTGGGAATAATAACATAAAATACAAAAAACAAACCTGTGAATGATAACTCTCCGTCAACATGGTCAAAAGTTTTTTCTTTTATGGGGCTAAATGGAAAATCTGAATATCATATGAAGCAATATAACATATGCATGAAAATTATATCATCCAAAATGCAATGTGATAAACAATGGAAAGTTATACAATATGCACTACAGAAATTGTGAATTTCTCATGAAGATCATAATTAGCAAAAATATTCATAAAAGAGCCCTGGTTAAGCAGGTTGTTTGATAGAAGTTATGTTTAAGAAATTATCTCTTATATCTGTCGCAACTGAAATGGCAGCAAAAATTCGGGAGTAACAAAGTTTTGAAAAAGAAGATGCTTGATGCTAAGGCAAGCAAAAGCTCCATTTGACTTTTGCTATCAAAATAAAACGCAACGAAGAGATGGTAATATGCTATTGTACCTGCAAATACCAAACAGAATAAATCAAGTTAAAATTGGAGTAATAGCTACAGAAATGACAGAAATACAAGGTAAAAATAAAAAGGGTTGTGCCTCCAGGAACTTGCAAGAAAATAGCTGATTAGCCATGGTGGTGTCAAAATTTTGCTCTGGGTAACAGAAAATGTCGCATTGACTTTGAATCGAGGATAATAGGATTACAGTTACATAAATAGATCATACAAGAGATAAATAAAATTACAGCCTTCAGATAGCTTTATTTTTAAGATTCGAAATTGAGACAAAGAGACAAAGAGTCGTAAGAAGACTAGACCAATGAAGTATGCCTCAACTATGGTGTCGCTTTTGTTTTACATTATAACCTCCTTAAAAACTGTTTTTCTGCTACAGTTAACAGTTGGAAAGGTTTGCCTTGAAATCATATTTAATAAAACTGTCAATGTTTACAATAGATTCATTACCTTTGCTCTTCAATATAAGGAGTCATTGGAAGTGTAGTAGACAAATCCAGAGTCATGCCGACCCCTCGCATCTCTTCTTGATACCTATAATTACGGATATGCGGAGGCGGCTCCTTCCAAGTGCTGTAAGACGTTGCATCACTATCATCTGATAAAATATCTTCACTGTCGCTTCCATGTTCATTGCTAACGGAAAAGGCGTCTAGAACTCGTAGGCGAGCGATTCTTGGGGACTTGTCATTGTCAACCTTGATTGGACTGCTCTGCTGCTTAAAGCTGTGATCGCTGATATTATG